GTAGAAGATAATTATGCAAACTATATTTACAATTATAGAATCGAAGTTTCTCTATTTCGATCACATGTTAAAACCAAAATTTTATTGGAATCACAGATCGTGTTCATGCATTTTTTGCCATGTTTTGCAGAAATGACTGATTTTCAAACGATTTTGTCTTACACAATATTAGAAAAAGACGTCCTTATATCTCCTTCAATTGGTGAAAACTGCAGGCCTCGAGCTATTTGCGATCTCGGTGTATTCAAAACAATTGTAAAGCATATTATATTTCTAAATACACAATACTTATTATTCAAACGCAGTATGAGGTGTGGTTGTAGGTGTAGATGGGCAGGTGGCTGTCGATAAAGGGAAGTTCGACACTCACATCCACCCTTCATGACTTTAAACTTTAAAAGCCTTCACTGAACTTCGTAAGGCTGCATACGACTTATAAAACTAAGTGGCGGATTAAGGCCTTTTATGTTGTGAAGCAATTTAGTAGAGTCTAGAGAAGATCATTATCATAAAACGTAGTATCCGTTTGTTTTGAGCCTTTTCTGCTAGGAACAACGAATTTTTTTTTCTATTATGAGTGGTCGCTTCCTGTGAACCAACCCTTAGTCAGACTTCAAGACGGCGTTAGTAAGAATGGAGTGTGAGTGTATAAACTAGAGAACACTCACACCATCTATTTAATCTTAGTCATCATCGAATCAGTAACAATACGATAATAATTTTTTCTAGATGCAAAGCAAATAGTATCGTTTATTGATGGATTTCATTGGTAAAAACAAGTCCCATAAATTTATTTTTTCTTGCCAAGATTCAGATTCAAGTTCGAGAAATCAAAAACAAGATTGGACCAATCAATTTCTGGAAAGATAATACCAGTAAAATTAAAGTTGAACGATGGTATATATTCAAATGAACATTGTGTACATCGAAATGGACAGCCACATGGATCATCCGGTGTTAATGTCGAACCACATATGCAGATGGATATATCGTTGAGACAAATCTGATGCTCGCATGATATTTCGTTGGTTTCACGACGAGTCGGAATAGCACTAATAGCAAATACGAGTGCGGTGGCAACGGCGACTGTAACAAGTAGATTTTTCATGATAAAACGAAAAGAGTGAATATAATTGAATGATGAATGAATCGTTCGATTTCGATGTGACAGCTGTTAGTTTTCTCACATCCAAAATAGGATCAAGATTAACGAAATACTGATGCGAATGAGATATATTACACAAACTCAAGTAAAAAAGCCCGAAAAAAAATCGACAGAATAGTTTAAAGCATCACCTACTAAAGATTGCTTGCTTACAGAAGGAATCAAGTATCATTCAGCTCACCGAGCATGTGCTCTTTTCATCATTAAATTACCACAAAAGTAACAAAAGCCAAAGGCAAGGGAACATAATACGAGGGTGTGGGTGGGTGCGTGGGAGTGGGTGTGGGTGGATGTGAGTGTGGCTGTGGATGTGGGTGTGGGTGTAGTCTTGTCTTCACTCACGCCCATACCCACACCCACACCCCACACCCCACACCCCGCACACCCACCCATACCCACACCCACATTCCATACCCACCCACACCCCGCCCACGCCCACACCCCGAGTCGGACAAACAATATTTTGTCAGAAAGTAAGAAATTTCAATAGACACTGGGAGAAAATACTTGGTTTTTTCCCTTGGAAATCGAGATATAAAAAGTTAATAGGACTGAATTATCTTTACTGACACAACACAATCGAATAGCATGGGAACAGTAAATGCTGGCCAAGTATCACAGTATCGACAGCGTTTACAAGATATTAGTGGTAGAGTCTGGGCCATTTATGAACAAATTCGAGAAGTTGGTGTGGGTGTGTGGGTGCGGGTGTGTGGGTGTGGGTGTGAGTGGGATGTTGGTGTGGGTGTGTGGGTGTGTGTGTGGGTGATGAATGGAAGAACAACCACGCATACCCACACCCGCACTCACACTCACACCCAACCCCGACACCCATAGCCACCCGCACACACCTACCCACACCCACACACCCACCCACACCCTTCTTCAAACATAATACAAAACTATTCAGTGCACGCTGAGTATAGAATAAGTAATATCAAATTTTGATTAGATCGATTTATCGTAAATTCACTGATTACTGTTATTTTCATCTAATTCGTTGTACTCCATAGATTTTCTATCAATAAAAAAACAGAAGTCTTTGCCGTGAACAGGATTCTGCATGGTGTGGGTGTGGGTGTGGGTGTGGGTATGCACGGCTGTTCTTCCATTCATCACCCACACCCACACCCACCCACATCCTAGTTACACGATCAATTCTGTTTCTTGCCGTTATGATTTCCGATTGTTGCTCTTCAGTGATAATAAAAATGTAAAAGTATGTTAAAACATAAAACATTTTCGCCTACTCATATGTTTTTAATAGTTGAGTGTACTATGTCTGGAACTGAATATGAGTAATGATGACCAAGAATGTCATTTGAAAAAAAGATATGTTGTTTTTAAAATAGTAAATTGTCCTATACATATTCAAGAAGAGTCGCTAGAAGCCTGATTCATAATAATTATTCTAAAGCGAACTCAACAGTGTTCAGATTTCTGAAAATGAAATTTTGGAAATTTCAGACATATGTTTTCCAAATTTTGTGTTACTTTCGAAATTTCTTTCTCTGAAATTCTACATGTTTCTGCCAATTATGAAAATTTCGGTAGTTTACTTTTTCGAAATTCTGAATATACCTCAGCGAACTTGAAAATAGAGCTTAATTACTGGTTTCGAGAACTATCTTCATAGAAATATTTCGTTGATAGTGATATTCTTAGCAGCACTTAGGTGACATCTATCGTGCTTCATAAAATGAAAACAAATTCGGTTAAGATATTCTCTTTTCAGATTACAAAATTTTGATAACTTTGTTTTTGTTGCATTTATATTATTTTGAATGCGATGCTAATTTTCATGTGATTAGTCGTGTCAGCGATTGGACGATACATAAAATACTATTCATAGTATTTAAATATCCGATCCGGCCGAACCGGACCGGACAAGATCGGACAAAAAGTTGAAACCGGCCAGACAGAACCGGATTTTTGCCAGTTCATCATTACAAAATTGTTGCCTGCACCTAAGAATTTTCTCTACTGGAAAAGGTGTTTTTATGATATTTTCACGTTAGAAGAATGTGTTTCCGAAAGACTCAATGGAGACCGTGTCATCGACCTAATTGTAAACAGTTCATTTTTCTCTTTATATCTCTATCGATTTCTTTCTCGTATATCGCTTAATTTAACCTAGATCATATAATTTGTTGTCTTGTTCTACTTAGGCAGCTGCCTGAATTACGTAAAATAAATATTTATATTGTTGTGCTAGATTTATTATAAACTTGCTGTTTTTTCTTGAAATTAAGATGAAAAAATAGATGTAATCTGAATAGCTAACTTATATAAATGTCGGGCTCGAAAAGTCGACGCGCCTTGCTATAAAATATGATGGTGAGAGTTTCATTCCCAAGTTTCCGTTCCGAGTTCGGATTAGGGGTAGCGATTCCCTGTTAACTTATTTTAAATTTAAATTTTTGCGAATTTAAATTTAAAATAAATAAAAATTTTTTTAGAGATGAAAATTTAAATTTATTTTAAATGTAAATTTTGTAAATTGAAGTTTATTTTAAATTTAAATTTTTTAAAATTATTTAAATTTATTTAAGCCGTTTAAATTTACTTAAATCCAGTTTAAATCAATCTAAATTCAATGTAAACCCATTTAATTGGATTTAAATCCAACAGAATGAATTTAAATTGAATTTTGCATTTTATTTGGTTTAAATTGAAGTTATATTGGTTTAAACTAGGTTTAAATAAATTTGAAAAATTTAAATCTACATTAATCCAATTTTAATTGAAAATCAGTATAGTTTTTTCGATTTATTAAATTCTGGTAAATGTAAGTCGATCATTTCTAGTTCGGATTTGTGCACGTGAATATTCAATTTTCCTTCACCACCATTATATGTGAACAGATACTTTTATGGTCGGTTATTTTCGCCAGATTTTTGCCAGTTTGGCTGTAAAATTCATCCGGCCGGTTGCTGGCCGGACCGGACCGGACCGGATAGAAAAAAGCTGTCCGGTTCCAACTCTGATACAGGTCGATGAATCATCCAATCATGTACATTTTTTTCTCGCTTTTTTTTTTAGTTCGAAAAAGATTTTAAAGAAAATCAAGTTATAAAAATATTTTCAGAGAGACTCCGAATTTAAAATGTTCTTGACAAATCAAATCTCAAATTTAAACTTGTTTGGTTTCATTTGTGTTCAGATTTTGATCTTTCAAATGAAAATATCGAAAATGATCTTACATTCCGTTTTCGAAAACTAAAGTTGGATATATTTTCCACAGACATGCATGGTAAGTCGTGTATAAAAGTGTTAGCTATAAATATTTGGTTGAAAAAAATTCATCTTTCAAAAAGTAAACAACGAACTCTAGTGAGTTTATCTCAATATCTGACTCGTTTAGAGATGTATATACAACTTTTATCTATTTCTCTCGGAAGCTATTTTTTCCTTTTTAAACTCAATCAAACACCGATCACATAGATTCTTTGAGAAAAAAATCCAGCGTGAATCTCATGATTCTATAAACAAAATAAGTGTTTCAAAAACAAATTCCAAACGTGAAGACGAATAGAAATGTCGAAATATTTTATTAGAACACTATTTTAATGCAGATCGAAATTTTCGATATTGAAACATTGCCGTTATGGTATGCAGAGAAAAGAAACCTAGCGTTGTAAAATTGTGAAATACTTTTTGTGAATGTTTTTTGCGCTAATTTTCAAAAATGGTCTGGTCCAAAATTTCTTAAGAAATTTATTGTTCATCTGTTCTTAAGCATAATTCCATTACGATTGTTTATATTTATTTTACATTTAGAAGCGAAAAAGCAAATGTCTCTTTTAGATTTAAATAATCTGTCGATTTAAATTAAATGGCATCGTCATCAACAGAACTTTGTACCGATCATGAAGATGATTTGGCTAAGGACAAAGAGCGACATGACAATTATATACAAAATCAATATGGTATGAAAAAAAAAAGTGTTTCTCGTTTGGTTTTGATCTATTACAGTAAATAAATTATCTAGATTAGTTCCTTGTGAAGAAAAGTTCTATATTACACCTTTGCTCTATGACGCTAAGCCAATATTGCTATCAGAGTCAACACAGTGCACTCTGTCACAGAGTAACCTGTATGTAAAAAGTCTTTACATAACCTGGTTGTTCAGTTTTTGTCTACTTATAAGTTGCTGGAAGAAATCAAAAGTATTCAGTTAGTATGAGAATTTTACACTCTTTCTAAATATATATTCAGAATTTTTTCCTAAATTAAAGTTGGTTTATTAAAAATAAAATCTTTGTTGAGGATCCAAAACAACGCTTGGACAAAACACTAATTAATAAGATCGTGGCAGTTATGCTTGATCATTTTTCAGACACTTAGATGTTATTGAAGAGACTCAGAAGTAGACTGCTAGATAAAAAAAATTGATGCTCTTTCTAGATGTATGTTTAAAATTTTGCTCTAAGTTACGCTTGACTGGTTGTAAGAAAATATCTGCAAAAATCTTGTTTGCATCATAAGCAAAATAGACGTTTTTTCTATCTTTCATAATTTCTCTGGATAATACTTTGAGATAGTTTTGATTTTCTATTATTGTAGAGAACCTAATTTTCTACAAAGTAATGCGTTAAAATAAGTTAGAACAAGATATAATCATTTTTCGAACAGCTATTGTTTACTTACGATATAATTTTTTAAAAAAATCTTTTTTTTTCGTATTTTGGTATTTAAAGTGCAACAGAATTCTGTCATTTGTAGCAATATGTAAAAAGAGAAGCAGATTGGACATTTTGTAGAGCAAGTTTTGCTCTAGAAGCTGATGTATAAAAAGATTTTTTGATAGTTTAGATAAAGGCAGTTTTGATCAAAATACAAACATGGTCTTCATGAAAAATTCTGTACAGGCGTTGTTTTTGATCCTCACCAAAGATTTCCTTTTAATAACTCAACTTTACGTCAGAAAAAAAATTCTGAATATATATTTAGAAAGAACGTAAAATTCTCATTCTAACTGAATACTTGTGATTTCCTCCAGCAACTTATAAGGAGACAAAAATTGAATAGACATGTTGTGCAAAGATGTTTTACACGCAGGTTACTTGATTGTTTTTTTCTCTAGCGAGAGAAGAAATTTTTTTTAAATATCTTAGAAAGTATCAGAAAAAAACCGGTTGAGCAAGAAAAACGTATGAATTTTTCCGTTAAAAAGCACTTAACAAAATTTTGACAAAAAGTCTCGAGTTTTTGGGAGGAGACGTCGGCCTTCTCCAAATCATCTTCATAATCGGGAGGCCTGTCTCATTGTTTTTTGAATATCTTTTGATTAATGATACATTCACTCAGACAACATTATAATGACAAGAAGACATTATATAGTTACTTCAATCTGTCAAGTGTCATTATTAGATTAAAGAAATTGAGCAACAATTTTACCATCTAAGATTATCAGGTACCCAGTGAAAGGTTTTTGTGATTAAAATGTCAAAATCCTATCGGCCCAATCCAGATTACCAACCCGATTATTGTAAAACAAAAACTCAAATTTAAATCGACCGACATCAAATTCTTTTATGAATTATAACTCATTTGTCAATGAATCTAAGATTCGTTGCTGATCTACTAATGCGACTAATGAAAGTTCTAAAAGGTCTCAAGACACACACTTGAGCAGATTTCATTCTAGATGTTCTGAGAAGTTTTTGAAATATGAAATACATCCAACAATGCTTTATTCATTGAAGAATTGGACTCCCATCTTCATTGCCAAAAAAAAATTAATACGTCTTGAGTTATTCATACTTTGTGATCCATGTCCAAAACTAAGCTTACTTGACTGAATACGAAGCAGCACAGAATATAATGCTGCTATGTTTAATGATGATATTTTTCACCCAGGCTATTCTGTCAAGCAAGATTAGTTTTGGATATAAATCGCAGAGTATGAATAACTCAAGACGTATTATTCTTTTCGGTAATGAAGGTGTAGGTCCAATTCTTCAATGAGTAAGACATTGTTAGATGCATTTCATATTTCAAAAACTTCTCAGAACATCTAGAACAAAATCTACCTATGTGTGTGTCTTAAGACTTTTTAGAATTTCCGTTAGTCGCACTAGTAGATCAACAACAAATCTCAGGTTCATTGCCAAAACGTAGTATTCACCGCATGTTCCTACGTATCATTAATCAAAAGTTATTCAACAAACAATGGAATACACTATTTTTTGATCTCGATATGAGTATGAATGAAATTAGTAAACAAAGATAATATTTTTATAATAGAAAAGGTAAAAGCACAAGATCAATTTATTAAACTAGATGAATGGTAACCAATTTTGTTGAAATAGCTGTGGAAATTTCGCGACTGGAAAATAACAACAAGAATCCTGATGTTTTGTAGGCATATGAATGCTTGATGGCTAATTGGTTGAATAAGACGAGATCTATCGTCATAGTCTCTATTAGTGAATTAAACATCTTGCACAAAATTGATACGCGTTTTTTTTAAATTTTCCTTCGTAGCATGTGATCTTTTATTAGATTTGTGAAATATAAGCAACGTAAGCAGAGCCGGGCAAATCAAGTCAAAAATGCTCCAAGTCCAAGTCATGTCAGACTTCACTTGGCAATAGAGGTAATCAGCTACCGCTACGTTACCAGATAACGAGTAAGAAAAAATTTGCGATTTTGACTTTTTCGTCAAGGGATGTTTACTTTTAGAAAATAATGACTTATTATAAAGTTTGATCAAAAGTTTTCGGAGATAAGAAATCCTAATCTCAGTATGATTTCTCAAAATTTGTGAGTAAGATTTTCGGTCAAACTTTATTAAAAAATCAGTATTTCCGAAAAATAAGCATTTCTTGACGAAAAATTCAAAGTTGCAAATTTTACATTATCCGGTAACAGAACTGGTCGCTAAAGATAACATTCCTTCCCTATGTGGCAATGGTTCTGACATCACTTGACTTGAATTTTCATATCTGGGTAAGAAAGATAATTATCAACTAAAGAAAAAATGTGCAGCTAAATATTTGAATTCATATCCACTTATGTGGATTTCCGACCTTTTTTTCCCTCTGGTTATAGATTCAGAATGGTATTATAGTTATATAAATGAGACTGATAATAACCAGGATGAAACAAAAGGTAGGAAATTCACATAACTCGATGTGAATTCAAATATTTAGCCGCACATTTTTCTTCAGTTGATAAGTATCTTTCTTGCTCAGATATAAAACTTCATTGGATTTAGCTTGCAATACTATGGGTAACTAAACTACACTAGCTATTCATATATTTATGGTTATGAATTCGGTAACGGTACTATGAATATATAAATAAGTCTGGCGATGACCAGAATGAAGGAAGAAAAGATTGAAAACTCACATAATTGGGTATAAATGCAAATGTTTCGCTGTAGATTTTTCTTTAGTTGACTTGACTTATGACTTGAAAAAGGCTTGACTTGGCCAGCTCTGAACTTAAGCAAGTTTTCTTTTTAGGTATAAAATTTCGTTACTTCAATCATTTAAAAATCAAGGAGGAATTAAAATATTCAAAGCAATTTTGTCAAGCATTATGTATGGTTGAAGATTTGATTGATAATGATAATTTATGTTGTTATTATTCATATGTATGCAATGCTGATTTACGTTGTAAAAATATCTTTAAATTTGAAGAAGCAAAACGTGTTATTGAAAAAACAAGGACATTCATTATCGATCTATGCAACGTAATCGAGTTTACAATTGGTATTTTGCCGAATGAATATTCAGTTTTTCGTGGTGATCCATTCGTGACTCATCAGTATCGTGATTATATTATACTAGATGAAACGTTAATTAATGGTTTTCGTGAAAGTCAAACAGATTCAAATGTTCAGTTCCATATGGAAGTTTTCTTAGTATTTGCTAAAATTGTTCGTGAGTTGGGTCATGCATTGTCATATCACTGTGGTCGTATATTTGACAAATGAAAAAGATATAAGGAAGAAATTTGAAACACCAAAGACACATTGTTTACAAGGTGAATCTGGTAATGCAATTGAACGTTTATTATTTGGATCTGTAATTGATGCACCTGGTCGATTACGAAAGGATAAATATATTATTCAATATTTAATATTATCAGATGGTAAAATATCAGGTGTGATTGAAAAAATTTGGATCAGCTCATTTGTGAATGACGCTTTCAATATGCACAAATTAAGAAAAATTGATTCAATTGAACCTATACCATTTCAATTTTTAACAAAAACTTTAAAAAGAAAACTTCAATGTAAATCGAAGGATTTTCAAACAAAAAGAAAATTTTCAAACCGCAAAAATTTAGATCTTGATTGGAGTGGTGATGACGATACTGAATATGGACTGACTTCTATGTTTTTTAAAGTGTAATCATATAATGAATCTAAATTTTGATGGTTCGATGAATACATTTAATAGTAAAAATTAAAGAAATTAACATTAAATAAAACATTTTTTATTTTTGAAACATTTCGTTATCTACAATTAACATGACCAGTCAAAAGATAATAAAATGAAAAAAGGAGAGCAAAATTTTGGGCACATTTACTATGAGAGAATAAGAAAGATATTATTTTTCTTATTCTCTCATAGTAAATGTGCCCAAAATTTTGCTCTACTTTTTACAATCACATTTTATTTCATTTTTTCATCTTTTGACTGGTGATGTTAACTGTAGGTAACGAACTGTTTCAAAAATAAAAAATGTTTTATTTAATGTTAATTTCTTTAATTTCCAATATATAATCATGTATTTTTCTCTTCTGTATAATTCAATATTTTTTTTTTCTGTACATATTAGTGTTACTGTATTCATCATATGTGTGACTGTCAAAAAAGGTTATACAATTGTCTCTTTTAACTCTTTTCATTTTTATGATCTTTTGATGACATATGAGATATGTTTGGTGGACTTTTATATAAACAAAATTGTCATCGATTGTTATCAATAGTCATTCTCACTATTTGCTTATAAATATCAAGAGTTTATGATGTTGTGGATATGCATTTTATTGTTGATACTCTTGGGAAGCTCTTTTTTTTCTAAATCTAGAGCACGTGACTAGCTGAAAATCGAGAGAAGCTCTATCATATTCATCTATAGGTTATGGTCTGAGACAATGCATATGAATAGCTTGCAGAGGTCCAAACAGGCCACGATTTTAAGGCCTGCGCCTGTCACAGGCAGGTCGCTTGAAAATAACAGACCGCCTGGCCTGTCTACTTTTTCCTCGAAATCAAAGTTTCAACATGAGAATTTCATGATTTTGTTAGCAAATAGATACAACCTTCATTAGCTTTCAAAAAATCACACTTAAGCGCGGTGAATCAGACAAATACTACGGAATGAGTATTAAAGATACTTATAGGAAATCAATGCCCTTACCATTCTGAAGAGAAGATGAGCACAAATTTTCATAGTTATCACTATCTACTTGTCACATTTCTCAATTTTAGTTAAATTAATTGATTCTAAATCCTTTTTTCTGTAGAAGATTTACCATTGGTTGAATTCTATTTCTCTCTTGATCCCAATACTTTGGGTGACATTGTGATCTGGCACGAGAAGTTCAATGAAAATATTTTTGAACAAAAACCAGATATCTTTCACAAGTTGAGTATCTTAGCATTGTTTTTATTTTGTCTACGTATTACCAATGTTCAGTTCGAAAACTCGTAATCAGTAATGAAACTTTTCAACGTATGCGGGTACCGGTGAAATTGTCTATACCCACATACATCACCAACTCTGAAAAAGGATAGAGTTCGAACTTGATATTATATATACATTCCTACTGCGTCGCGCGTTTTTTAATTCAGCTGAAGGATAGCCTTTCTTTTAGATACAGACAGTCATAATTACTTTAACTTTTACTTATACAAGGCCTTAGAAAATTAATAATCGCATGGTCCAGAAGACATCAATAGCTTTTTATGCGAAATTTTACTATTTGTATAATGTTATTAATTTTCATCTAAGTTCATGTTGACAGATATATAGCATAAGATTCTCTTCAAACATTCCGTATAATGTTTTATTACAAAGTATGAGAAGAGAAAGCTACACGAAAAATATCCAAGGTCTCCGAAGCTATCAGCTTTCTAAAGCACGGTGTAGCATTCCTTAACTTTTTGCTAAGCGGTGACAAAAGTATAAGCATATATAAAATTAAATTTTCTAATCCTATGACGAATGCAGATCTAGTCTTTGTAAAAGGAGTGATGCAAAAAGTTGATTCTAGGTGCAGTAATATCATACATTTTTAATAAATTAGGAATCGATAATGAATTGATTTTGATTTGTTTTGATTGTAATCCATTCACTACCAATTGACAATCGATAAAAGAATAATGATTTTAATCATTTAAAATGAATCTTTTCTGATTTTTACATGAATTATTTTTTATATGAAAGTGTGTCCGCAGTTTTTACAGATAGGCATTGTAGCTGTCTCTTTAATGAAGTTATTTCTTCTTCAGAACGATGCCAATTTTCGCCGAGCGATTTTGACTAGATATCAATCGTTCATTAACGAAAACGTTTTTTTAAGTGAACTGAAACCTATGCTTTTTTTTATACTCCGACTGACTAGAAGTACCTTTGAAAATGAACAGTCTTTGTTCTACACTTAGCTTCACATGCTCTCAATTACAAAGAAGCATGATACCTTAGTTTAATTGGAAAGCTGACAATTCTCATGCACTTTTCAATTAGAGACTTTTCAATGTAGTGATGTAGATTGAATTCAGTGACTAATAAGACTTTTTATGAAGATTACTACTTCTTCCTATGGTATTTATATCATGATATTGACGTGAAAAAAATACACAGGCCTAGGCAGGCTAGGAGAGGTGTAAGCCTGTCACAGGCAGGCCAGGCCTTCAAAAAGCGAACCTGTTTGGACCTCTGGTGTGAATATGGCGGTAAGCCACATTTTCCTCATCTGAATTTTGGCAATTTATTGAATTTCTGATGAACTTTCGAAAATAGAAAGGTTGTCCAAAGTCCATACAAACTCTCACTCACATCTACGCTCATTCTCAATCAGCATGCATGAAATGTGATATTATGAGAATTTTTCGCACTGACATCTACATTCTGAGTTTTACCAAGGGGTCATCTAGTTTTAGTCAATAACAAGACATAGGTCGTCTGGAACCGAAGAAGAAAGTAAAGTGATATAACTGATAAAAGTTAGAGCAGTTTGCTCTAAGTTAATAAAAATGAATAGAGAAAGAGTCCACCATATATTATTTCTTTGTTTATTTTTTTCGATAATATGCATTAAAATGAATTCGTCGACGGTTGTAGCCTGAAAATGAATATTCAGGGCATAAATGGCGTTCAACTAAAAATGGAATAGATTTAAATGTTTGTTGAATTCCATGGATATAATCAAATGGTATGTTGTTTTTCGATTGAACATATATTCTTAATAATTTTAAATTTTTCCATGGTGATAAAAGTTGTAACCATTTTTGAGCATCCATAAATGGTTGATTATCGTTGCCTGTTGAACAATCCAATTTTAAAGATTCAAGATTTGGGGTACATTGTGAAAATAACTCCAGATGTTCTAATTTTGCTCTACGAATTTTTAAAGTTAATTTTGATAAATGAACTAACTCATTGATAGGTTTGCAGATTTTATTTCGATTACCTTCATCACATGATAAATATACATTTAAATGTTGAAGATTTGGTGAACATCGAAGAACATGAGAATGAAAATAAGAGAATGATACGCCGAATTTTGAATCAATATCCAAGTATTCCAAGTTAGATGATATTTGCTCGTGATTTTCATCATAGCAAGGAGCAACGAAATCTATTTTACCATGCGATTGTGACAGTTTAATTTGATAATATTTTAATTGTGAAATTGCCAGTATGAAATTAATTACCATTTCTTCACATATATTTGTGGCATATTTAAATACTACTAATGAAAGAAGACATGACAATTTATTTGGATTATCAAATTGTACCAAATGATAATCATAACACTTCAATGATTTCAATTGTTCTAGACAAATAGCTGATAAAAGAATATCAATGTCATTTCGATCATCTATCAACGTCCAATGCAGCAACAAATGATAATCGCATAGTAGTTGATTGAAATATTGATTTAAATTAAAAATTGATTGAAGTAAATCATTGGCATTCAAATATTCAAATATGGAAATGTGTATTTCACTACTTAGATCTTCGAATGTTGTTTTTCTTGACAATGACATCGAACGAAAATAACTAAGAACAAAGTAACTGAAATTCTGACTTTGATAAAAGTAATGATTCAATTTTTTTATTTGTTGTTGATGAGAAAAGATTGGAAAAATTACCACATATATCAAGAGTTTTTCTACTGATTATGCAATTCTAGTGGCCTTGTATGTTTTTCGTTTGTATGTAAACTGAAACAAAGCTCGTCCATTCCAAAGCAGTATCAACAGGTAACGCTAGTTATCGATTCGTTCAGACAGATGAATACAGGGTGATGTCATTGCGACGCCGTTTGAGTAAGTCAATGAAACTAGCACCAATCGGTGACGAACTCTGAAATGATCGAAAAACCTTTCATGAAAGGATAAAACAAATAACTGAGCACGCTGCAGCTATAAACTCTCAAACAGTTCAAATGAAGTACACAGTAAAACGACCGCCGATCAACATATGAAAACAATTATATAGAATTTTTCGATGTCTTGATTCAATCTATTGACACATTTGTATGTGAAGATGTAGTCTTGCATATTGGATACGAGAATATCGTAGAAGTTTGAGAAAATACACATCGTGATACGATGTTGTTTCGCTCTAACTTTGTTTAGGATGGACCAAGGGTATGTTAAGACTGTCAGTCAGAATAAAGAGAAGATACATACCCACACTCAATATGAAGTGATCCTATTGGTTGTGGTTAACTTTCGTTGACCATTTGAACCGTATGTATATAAATAAGACATCGTAATATGACGTTGTTACAAAACCATGCAATTATTCTAATATACAGTACACAAGTCAAACATCTTTTCTTATGCATATTAGAGGATGCATGGGAATGGGTGGATATTTTTTTCTACCACACTCACACTCAACATGATGTAGTGCTACAAGAAAGAAAAAAAACAATTAATTATAAAATAAGTATTTTTATACAAAATATACATTTGAAAGTAGATATGTTCGACATTGTTCAGATATAATTGTATTTTCACAAAGTACATGAGACACTACCAAAGATTTTTCGCCTATCTTTTAGAGAAATAGTCAAGGACTGGTGTAGTGTTGTCTGCAAATGGATTGCTCTCGTTGATTCTAATTGTGTGTAATTCATGTTTCAGTTTTAACAGCAGAATGAAATTATATGGGTTTAGATCTGTGAAATACACTCGATCAGCATATATTTTCATATGATTCGGAACGTCTAATTCCTTGTGAGTTGATAATGTAGACGGTCTCCCATTTTCATAACGAAAGCTTATGTTAGGCAACTATTGACAGGCTAACTGGTCTATTAGATTTCAATAAAGCAACTACATTTTGTACAAAAAAAATGACATAATACATTTATCCAACATAAAACTTCGTAGAATTTTCAACAAATACGAATAATTGAAAATAATTGCAGAAGAAATTCTCTTGTTGTGCCCGATGTATTTCATATCAATCTTCGATATCTAACGGTCATATCATGGTCTGTTCTTTAGTACTGAATAAACTTAATGATTACAATTCGAGATTTAAGACAACAGATGAACAAATATCAAATAATAACTTATTTTGATAATACAAATGAACAAGTATTAGTTTCTTAAGTAAAGACATATTTAACGAATTCATCAATATAATAAAATCACCAAGACTCGTATTACATAAAAGCAAAAATCGTAGTCGACTATCATCAATTATTTTATATAGTCTTGATGCGATAACAAAGCAGTAAATATATTTTCATTAGTTCACTCGAATGTGGAATACTTAAAATTAATCTCACTGTATTTGGTCAATAGAATGGTTTCATTTGGTGTAAATATTTAATAGATTTATTTGAATAACGTTGATGGCCTGCACAGAAAAAAAAATAGCAGTAATAGAAAAGCAACAATAACTATATCATCTAAGATAAGTCGTACCTTATGACTTAAGAAAAAATGCACCCGTTTTAATATCTGATAATCAAGATTAAATATCATACATATAAGATAAATTGATTTATATTCATGATCTTTTAGTTGATGTTAGACTGAAAATCACAATAGTATAACAAAAGATGCGAAACGTTCTAAAAATAAAACTAAAGAAAATTGAATAAATGAATGGTTAAATTACTTCATCATTCAGTTTCTTTTTCAATTCTAAATAAGCTTTACGAAATTCCAAGTTAATATACATTGTAATATATAACATAACAATATTTTATAAACACTTCTAATATTCAAATATGTTGACTTTCAACAGAAAGAAATAACATACATAACGAAAAAAGAACCATTTGAAAATATATTGCTAAAGGTATATAATACATTATTTATCACAAAAAGATAAATATTACTTTTGTTTGCTGTCTATATGAACTATCGGCCTGGCTATTTCGTTTTGAAGAACAAATGTTGACGCAATGTCTTTCTATTCGAGAGTATCTTGACAAATTGGTTCGATTCTAGAAACAAAGGTGTCGTAGAACTTACATTGACTGACAAAAAAAAACGTGTTAGGATCTAAACCAATTCAATGGCGAATTTTGCGCGTATGTTGTTTCGAAAATTGATTGTCACAAGGTAAATTTTATTTTGTTTTTTTGCTTTATTTTGCTATTTCGTGCGAGAATGATAAATCTATTGCTACAATAATCGTGTTTCATACGATACAATTAACTTGACAACGTTCTATGAAATCAAATTATATTCTTGTGATTACTACGTAGTCAATCATAGTATTTTTTTTTATTCAGGAATATTTTGATGACATAGCATTTTCATCTTCTAATGCCATAGAGTCAACTGAAATACGATGTAAAATTAAGCCATGGCAAAAGTTTGACGATCTTTTCATCTTGAGAAAAAAAAATTGAGTAGAGACAGTAAAATATTTCCTTTTTTTTTGTCGATACATTAAAAAAGATTCTTTATGATGAATTGGTTGCCGTGTCAGTAAACGGCAAACATTGATTCAGATTAATATCTTATTTCATATTATTTAAAACTTTAACTTTTTGATTTAGTTCATCAATAACCATATCCCATAAAATCAAAAAAGTATGCATAAAAAGTCAATGTTAGTTGTATCATTATAATTAAAATCAACAACCATGAAATGAATTTTGTGAAAGCTGTATCAAATACATAATATGATCCGTGGAAATTTGTACGTAAAAAAATGAATTATTCTGTTAATATCTAGAGTTTCACTGATACAGTTGTTTGATGGGTTTAAAACCTACTTGCTTAATAGTCGAACTGTGAATTCTAGCATAAACAACCCATGAATCAATTATGAAACTACGAATATTACGATTTGTTTCTTGTTATTGACTAAACAACAGTTGTCTCAGGTACACATCATCATATATCGATATTTATTAACACAGTAATCATATAAGAATTCGAACCGGAATGTATCCGAGTGTCACAATAATTTTAGAACGAAAAGATATCAGAAAACTCTTTTATAACGAAAAGGTAGAAGACTATATACTATAGTGAAAATAATAAAATTCGACGTTTTCTACAACGATAAATATGAATGCTACTATATCATCGTCTAATACGTCCGACTTTTCTCAACTTGTGGCCACAATAAAAAAAATTAAATTCTACCCCGAAAGAGAATTTATTAGAAGATACATATTTTTAATGAAGAAGAAAGTTTATCGAGTACTCTAGAGGGATGGTATAATATTTTAACTCCGGTATTGAGATATCTTACGAATTTGATGTAACGAGATGGATACCCGACTCTATAATCATATATCTCCAGCGTCCAAGATATAGAGACAAACTTATGAGGATAAGTCTTATCTTGGTACCCGAATATCACGCTCAGAAACTTGCAATACACATGTACACCCACAACCTTAGAATCATGATATTTACTGGTTGATGAGAAATATAATAAAAATATTTTTACTTTTTATACACGTCAATAAATCTGCTGTCATTGTTTTTAATAATGCATTCAATTCAATGTTTTTTTTTTCTGTGACGCAAATGTGATTTTGTGTCTTCCCTTTAATCACACCCACAGTCATACTCTCTCATTTGCATTTAGATCTTTTTCTCTATGCACAAGAAACTCAAGATCAAACAAAGCAGAGTTCAAGAATGGCTCTCATAATCAAGGATCGTCAAACAGACAAAATTTGACCTTAATTATTTCTAACAAAGTCTTCCGTTTAGAATTGACGTCGATATTTAGAAAGAAAAGTTTCGTAGCGTCTCATAAATATGAAAGGTTTGATTATTTCGTTTTTTTATTCATGAGTTACGAAAGTATCACGTGACAATACTTTCATTTTCTATGGTGAGTGGTTCGATGTATCTTTGTGCATTATGTCAGAGCAAAAAAAATTCATTCGCTTGAAGTCTTTCACTTACATAAAACTGCCAACAGTTACATTCGAGACAATAGAAAGAATTGAATAAACAATTTTTTTATTTCTCTCTTCTACTTCAATCAGTTCTGTTGAAAGAAAAAAAAATCTAGATCAGAAAAGAAAAATAAGACAAATATGCCATGCCATTTGGATAGATTTCGTTTTGATTATTCTTTCACTTTTTTTTTTCTTTTTGATACAATGCAACATCTAGACACTCAAACGCATACATTGTTTGCATCTATCGAGAAGCTGGCTTTCATGTTGATTTTATCAACACACAGGTTTAATTGTAGAGAGATGTTTTTATTCTATTGATTGCATAGTCTTCCAGAAATGCAATAAGAAACTAGTTAATCCTCGAGACAAAGATTCTTGTTTTTCTACTTGGCATTATGAGATATCATGTCCATCTCTTGTGATCTCTGAAACTCCAATCAACTAGCTCTAAGAAAGTTTCATCAGACTCTGTGTTATTCGCTACCATCATATTTTGGAATAGACAAAAAATTCATTTTTTTTACGAGGTGAATGTGAGTGAGCATGACTAAAAGACCTGTGTCCACACAGAATCTAGTTTATTTTGAAAACTGAAAGTATATACGTAAAATAAGATTTGTATTGTAGATTACAGAGTCTTTCATACCACATCTCTGAATATATCTTGTTTTTTTTGTAAACGCGCAACGCAGCCATTAGTGCTGATTCACTCATTATTTAATGCAATTTTTCAAATAAAAATCTGCATTTCGAATGTTTATTTTCTTCCATGTCAAGTGTCTTGATGTTCTAGATCTTCTCAAATACTTGGTAGAATTTGATCTTTTCCAATATAATACAGTCGAACAATATTAAATCAGTCATCATGGGAGAAAAGATGATTTTAAAGTAAATAAATATAATATTAGTTAGCCTTTGTTAAACTAAAGACTAACATTAACATTTATAGACGAGGATCATTCTTCGGCATTGGAAATCCTCTGTTGGATCTGAGTAAAGAAGTGGATGAGGATTTTTTAGAACGGTAAGATGTGTCAGTATTCTTGAAAAGTCTTGTAACTCAACTATGACCTATTGAAGATATAAACTCAAAGAAAACGAAGCAATTTTGGCTCGTGATGAACATACACCACTGTGAGTTTGTAATACTCAAGAAATAGATGATCTTATTTTTCTTTTCAGTTTTCGAACACTGAATAAACAGGGACGTCTTGCAATTGGTGGCTCATCACAAAACATTATGAGAACCATTGTGGTTAGTATTAGCTCATGTTACTTGAGCATGACGGATTCAGAACAAGATTTGAATCTTACTTAGCTAGAGTTAGGGCTTCTAACAATATTGCGATCAATGAATTTAAATTTGAATAATGATTTTCGTACAAGTTTTTGCTGAAAAGAATATCAAGATCGACAAATATTGGATAAGAGGATTCGACATCCACCTAGTATTGTAGTGCATGGATTAAATGACTTTAGTTTTAACCTACGATAGAAATAGTTTATTAAGAACGAAATAAAAAATCATTACTTTTCCAGTTTCATCATTATGCATCTAAACAATAGAGAAACAAGAATTACTATTACTCACTATCAAACTATTGTAAACTTTGAAATGACAATGGAATCCTCGAGTTCAAGAGTTGAACAAGAGTAAAAATAGAATACTGCAAAAATTCTATACAGTTTAGTTGAGAAAAGATTCAGATATGGATTTAAATTTTTGATACAATTTTGCAGTGGTTTCTCGAACAAAAACATATTGCTTCCTATATGGGATGTGTTGGCGATGATTTCGAAAAGCAGAACTTGATCCAATTGGCCGAATCTGCAGGTCTTGATGTCAAGTATCAGACTCATCCTAAATTGACAACAGGAAGATGTGCCGTCTTAATCAATTCTCGTGATCAGTGAGTATATGTGTTCTGATGTTTTTCTTGATATTTCTCTATTTTTCAAGAGTTCGAACCATGGTTGCAAGTCTGGGCGCATCGGAGTCCTTCACAGCCGATTTTCTTGATGAGAGAGAGAATTGGGGCGTAATTGAACAAGCTCAAATTCTTTGCTCAGAAGTAAGTACTACTCAAATGAATATTTTTCGTCTAATTATCAATTGATAAATACTCTCCGTTTCTTCCATAATAAGTTTGTCTTCTCTATGCGAAAAATCATAAAAATTATCATTCTTAGATTTTAAATCCAGATTTGTTTGAGAACAACATTTGTTGAAGAATAAATCAGCTAAAACTATGACATATACACTTTTCAATTAGTTGTCGAACTCAAAAATGAACTCTTCCAACTTATAAATCGCTTTTGAGTCGAAACTATGTGCATTATGTTAACTCGAATGAGTTATGAATATTCTAAAAAGAACTCGTGCCCTGAGCTTATTGCTGAGAAATCAAATTTGTCAGCGTATGCGAGTGATGATTCTCGTTAAGATTTGTTTCTGTACAAATTTTCAAGTTGAACTTTAAAAATGAGGCGTCCTTGAGTTCCTGAGAGCGACTACAGCACTCCTAGCCTTAACTCAATAGTGATTTATAAGTTAGAAGAGTTTATTCGTAAGTAGTCGGAGCAAGGATTATACAGAGTTCGAGTCCACATTTCTCATAAGTATTTGATTACTTTTATTGTTATATATCAATAGTACTGCGTTGGTTGTACCTGAAATTCATTTTTACCAAAATAATAGATGTATTTTGAAAGTAAGTATAGTCCTAGATAAATAATCACATTTGTCATTCAGCTGAATGTACCTTTACTAACATTGAAATAATAGAAGTGGAAAGAATTACAACTACTTCTTATCTCCATCATTTTTCCTTCACATTTGCTATTCTTGTAACGCTTGTAAAAAGAATTCAATTATCAAATCTAAAAGGATTTGTGAAACACCTACGCAAACAATAGAAAATAATCCAATTCGATGAAGTATCGTCTGGTGAGTGATTGATAAGTTAGAAAGCCTTATTTATATTGATATTTGACAACTAAAGTATCAACTACAGCAGGTATCATTGAACCATGAGCCCTTAGGTTTAAAAGTTTTTGAATATTGAACAATTTGTCCTTGTGCAAATAATCAAATTATATTCCAACACTTTGTTGGAAAGCAGTCTTAGAATTCGAACCCAGTCATTTTTCTTCTGATTAATTTATTCATGTATGCAAATAAAACCGAAATGTTAAACTCCTAATGCTAGGTCATAGCGGTAAATATTGTTTTAACTTGGTCAAATATTTCTCTTTTCAAAGGGTTTCTTTTTGGTATCATGTCGTGAAGCATTTATGCGTGTATGTGAGCATGCATTCAAAATGGGCAAGATTTTCAGTATGACTTTATCGGCAAAATTTATCTGCGATGATCCAATTGGAGTTCGTTTATTGAGTGCATTACCCTATGCTGATGTGGTTTTCGGATATGAAGACGTAAGTTCGTATATAAAGTGAATAGGAAAATATCAACTATATTTTAAAGGAAGCGAAAGTTCTTGCTAAAACTCAACTCCATGTTCAGGTATAGGTGATATGAAGTTGATAAAATTCTTCATGATGTTTTGAATCTTACAGTCCTCCAGCTTACATGCTGTTCTCGAAGCCATTCGTGACACTCCGAAATGGAATCGAAATCGACCACGGGTCATTGTCGTAACAAAAATTCCTGAGCGGACAACAGTTGCAACAGGTAAGAAAACTTTCCTGTCTCTTTATTTGAAGATCTACATAGGTTGAATATCTTTGAAGTTGATGGTATTAAAGAATATCGATGGAAAAAACCTTCAAAAATCGTCGATACACATGGCTGTGGTGATGCATTAGCCGGAGGTATGAGAACTTGCTAATTTTCTACTAGTTGAATCTACTCTGAAAAATATGAATTATATCAGGATTTCTTGCTTATCTGGCTTTGGGCAAGAGCGTGGATCAATGTGCCCATGCTGGCTTATATTGTGCCTTCGAAAATCTGCAGCAACTTGGTTGTCAGTTTCCGCCCAAACCATCTTACAATGGCTAGCCAATTAATTAAAGAAAGAACAATGAGCATTAAAATACAAAAAGTTTTTTATGCCAACTTCTAGATTATATGGACAGAATCTTTTTAGCTTGTATAAACATAAATCAACTCTCGAATAAAATTTGCTTGCTCTTGGAGTCGGGTTTGGGTATGAGTCAAAGGTGTGAATCTACCAGCTTGTGCGAATGACTGTTCAGGAAACTTTTTTTGATAAATAAAGTGTGGAAATAGATTTCCGAATCCATGATGGAAATGAATTATGAATTAATTCAGATTTATATGAATTCCACATTGAATCTTCAATACGACTTTTATGAGTAATTCTATTACTTAATCCATTAGTAAACATTAGTGTCTATCAGAATTGATCAAGGACTACCAGAGAATATAATAGTAAAAAAAGAAAGAACGTACCAATACCTACACACACATTCGCACCAACGCGAAGCGTGATACGACTGTCAGTACTTATATCAGTGTCAGTTTTACACACAAACCCACACGCGCCCTTTTGGTTTTCTTCATTCGCTCATCTTGATATATAGATGAAGTCAAAAAATCTTCAATGCAGCTGAGAAATTTTATGAAAAAAAAAAAGTAAAGTTTCGATACGAATTTGTTCAAAGGAGGGCATTTTTCTCTTTGACAAAAGTCATTTGTTTTGAAAATTGATAAACTACTAGCTAGCCTAAATCGTGAAATTCCAAAAAAAAAGTTAAGCCCATTTCTTATCCCAATAAGACATACAGGAGAGGCGTCACAAAACAGCTGTTGTAAGAAAAAGATCGTCTTTTATTGTAAAAGCTTCACTTTCAACGACGGGTTGACTCAAAGTCATCATGATTACATTACGAAAGTGTAGATCACAGTATCTAACGATGATCTTTCTGAAAATGTGATTTTTTGGCGATGATAAATTTTTTTCAGAGGTTTTAATCACAATTTTGGCCAATTTTGGAATTCTCGTTTCATCCGATTGTAAGAAATACGTATAGTTTACCGCTAGTGAAATCGTAGATCTCCAATTATTATTAAAAAATTTTCGGTTCGAACGATTCTGATTCAGGCTCCATTCTATTTTCTTTCACCATCCCAGCTCGATTTCAATTTTTTCAGAACTACTGAGCTTTAACTCAACGCATCATTAGGTTTCGACTAGCTAAGAATGATGTAAAATCATTATTTTATTATGATTTTTTCCTTTCTTACACTTTTATTTTCGAAAACTTTTTCTCTTAGTCATATTTCCGAAAGGTACCATTCCATTACAAGGAAAGAAAAGCATCATCATACTACGGTATAGTTATGTATCATTTACATCTACAGGTGGAAATAACTCAATGTATTACTATCATGAAGTATTTCATCTTTCTTGGTAGACTCTTACTCGAGTACTGAACAGAATGGTTTTGAGTCTCTTTTGCTTGTTGAAATCGTAGTAATGGTGATTATGGAAAAAATGCTCAAACTATTTAGATATAATAAAGAGGAATGTTCAAGCAGTTTATTGATGAAAATGTTTTGTTTTTTTATGCTTGCATAAATCAAGAACGACGAACGATAACAGATAGTTTGCTTGATACTTTTTCGAATAGTTGTACGGTATAAAAAATTTTAAAAAAAGTGAAAATTTTAGAAGCAACAGTTTCATGTTTTTCAAAGAACTGCAACAATGAAGACCTGATTATTAACTTTGGAAACCGGCCAATCTGTTTTCTTCCAGGTTATATTTCATACTTCAATTTTCTCACAAGTCTCATTGTATGATCTGAACTTCCATTATATGTGTATTAAAATGATGTATATATTTCTCACTGATTAATATTTTTTTGAAAAAAAAAAAGACCTGGTTTTGATAGTTTAGATTCTGTTGACAATTCGCTGTGTTATTATGCATCACTCTCCTTTCATAAATATCATTGAAATGAGAAACAAACGCTTAATTGTATAAATTATTTCTAGACGTATCTAATAAGATCAAGAACTGTGAAATGATTATCTGAACATTTTTAGTATATGCCAGGTAGTTCAAATAGGAATCGTACTTAATGCTATTTACATTTTCCATATTCATTAGAAAAAGAAAATAAACCCTTGAAAGCAGTTTGAAATTTGACGATATAAAAATACCAATGTTTTAAAAAATAATTTTTATATGGAAAAAGTATCATGTTTAATTACGCAGGTTTTCATTATTATAATACAATGATTCTACTCAGATTTTATGCTAGAAAAAGACTTGCTATTAAAGATCACAGAGTTTTTCCTTATAGTAAAAATGACTAATATGATTTATTTCTCTTTTAACCAGGTGTGGAAATATTTTCTATATATCAAATATAGTTATATTGTATGTTTGATTTGTAAATTCATCATTTCGATTTCTTGCGTCAATAAATAATCATGGACAAAATGGAATGATTTAAGCAAGAAATGCGTTATTGTATTCGTAGAAGAACATATTTCTATGACTTTTTTGTATTTCTATGTACTAAAACTTAGATGAGATCAGATCGCATGGACGATATTTCTTTTCAGTGGAGATATTTCGAATGAAAGAAGAACATATAATTAAATTATTTCAAAATTTCGATAGTAAGAAATCATTATGTTGACAAAATTGTGGAAGTTAATGGTTCTATGAATCTCGCAAATAAAATGGTTAAATTTTGGTAAAATAAGGATAAAAATGTTGATCGATTTTATAATTTCTATATGAAATGTACAACATTTCTTCGACTGATGTGTTTGGTGCATTATCTTCGACCAATAGTAAGCTTGTTTATATCATATGGTCCGATATATAGTTTTTTTTCGCTAAATATGGATGTATTATTGAGAATGTTTTTCCTTCCAACTTTCTCTCTACAATGCTTCTTTCAATTTGATATGAATACATCATTGTTTCAACATGAATATCATCTTATTCGAGTTTCTAAATTTATGTTTCTTCGATTTGTAATACCATTGTTCTGTGATTTGTTAACACAGACAGTAATAGAAAAAAAAAGCATGATATATTTTATTAGTCTTGCATTTTTCTGATTGGAGCAATTGATGCCGAAAAGCAAAATTTACTTTCCATCATTTCTTGATGAATATTTATAAATGTTTGTATTATAAATTAAATCAATTGCAATAGAGTTTTCGAATTTCCTATTGATTAGACGTTGAATAGTGAAAGGGCTTGTCAATATGACGTTCTTTACTTTGGGCTACTTTACAGATGCAGGAAATTGAAGATAATAATTCTATCGCTTGCAAAAAGGATGTAATTTCTATCTCATATTTTATATGTGTTTTATTTTTGTTGCTATAGATATATTTTAAAATAATGTATAATTGCAAACAAACTATACACGAAGTCTCTGATAATGATTTACAAAAACCAAATATTTATAATCAATATTTGCCATATTATGAATCAATTAAACGGCAAAGTTCTGAATCATTTGAAGAAATCTGTGAAAATCTTTCACGTCTGATTCAATTACAAGAATTACAACCTGGTTTTCCACTATGGTCATCAAAATTACAACAATTTATTTCACTTTATGGTTTTTCTTTCACGAAAATCAATCATATAAAATTAATTAATTTCTATTTGTCAATTCTTTCCATTAAAAATTTAAATTATATCAATGCACAAATATGTTTCGATATATTAACTCAACTTACACGGTTCGTTTTAATATCTTTTTTTCAGATAATTACTAAACCAAAAATGTAGTTCGTATAAATTTTCCTTTCTAGTAAAACACGTTTAATTACAAGAGATGATCTTATTATTGATTGGCGAATACTTTATGTATGGGCAAAACTTGTTCTATTCAATCATGATGAATCTTATTCACTTGTTTCTATGCCCAAGTTTGTATTTCAATTAGTTTGCTAATAAATGAATTTACTTTTCTTTTTTTTTATTTAGAAATATTGCGAATTCATTTATATTTTGTGTACGTAGTTGTCGTCCATATTTTTCAGCAACAGCTACTCAAGAAATTCTTGATGAATTTCGACCATGTTTATGTCCATTTGATACGGTCTGTGGAGATGTTATGGATTATTGGGATATGTTTTTACCTGTTCATTTACCACCTGAATTACATCATCAAGGATTTAAGTAAGATAATTATGAAAATTTTTGTTTTTTATTTTCTATTTATTTGCTTATTTTAGATTGTGGTTATCAGAATTTTTAGATATTTGGGAAAGTGTTTGTAATAATCCAGCATGGGAACAAGTTAGTTGAATTCTTATTAGAAAAAAAAGGAGTTTAGTCGCTAATGTATTATTATTTAGAGTTTAATTAGTTTATTTTCTTTTGTTGCTTGGTGTAATATTGGATATATTGATTGGGAACCATGGCTTGCACGTGTAAGATTTATTTTATTTGATTGTTATTAATTATTTTTATTGATTAGATTTTTACAAGAATATTAAAAAACCTTTCACTTCCAATTGGTAATGTAGAATTAATAAAACAAACACAACATTATTCTATACCAGTTGTTGCTACATGGATTGTCGCTATGATAGGAAATCATAGTTCATGTATTCAATATTTACAAGATTTATTAATTGCAATAAAAATTTTTTATCATCCATCAAATACAGGAGACTTTCAGATAGAACTTGTTAGTTTTCTTTCAATGCTTGCACAAGCATTTGTTGATCGAGTTTATTTGTAAGTAAATTACATATATAAATCTCACTTCTTTTTTTCTTTTTTTTACATATTTACGCTTGATATTTGATTGAGAACTTTGTTTTTATTACTATTTGTATATTGTTTTGTCTATGAATCTATTGTAGTGAACGTACAACTGATCCTGTTTGGTATTTTAATCCACCGAAATCTCATCGACTTTGCGATGAAGATATTAATGATTTTGTTAATTGTCTTAAAGAATGTGCATTTATTTCTATATTCAACAAAAATCATCTTGATTTAGGAGCTGAAGCATGTCATTATCTTTCTCAACTTCGGCCAGAATTCA